TTTTTTACTCACCCTCGTACTTTGCTCTCGGGCAATTTATTACATTCATTTCTTATAATATTCTTATTTTTTTAAGTAAACTAAGTCACTGGAATCCCGATAACGCAAATGACAAAATATTAATTTCTAGACTCTACACGTGGGCAGTCAAATAAACGTTATACTTTGCTGGTTGACGGAAGTTGGGTCTAAAACCACCGAAAAGACGCACGACTCATTCGTTACTGTCATGATGAAAATTATTCAGAAACATCAAAAAATTATTAATCTTTCGGAGAAGATTGAAAATCTCTATTCGCACATCGCTTTGTTGCAATTCACGTCGAATACGATGATGATTTGCTCATTAGTGTTTCTCATTGTAACCGTGAGTAAACCTAGTGAAAATTCAAATAGAAAAATGTGTATTCCATTTTAGAATTAATTACATTAGTGAATTTCTCGTACATTGATCTCTATTATGTATCTATCTTATTAATTCATTATGCCGCTGTAAACTATTTATAACCTCCTGTGCGTGCACATATTTCTTTTCATTTTGTATCAACAAATGCAGGCAATCGGCAGCCCCGGCGCCACTGAAAAAATAGTAAGATCTCTTTTATTTTGCTTCATAACGAATCTCGAAGCGTTTATATTTTGCTTCGCTGGAGAGTATCTGAGCAATAAAGTTAGTAACGAAAGATATTGATGGCAATAAAATAAACATATAAATAATCTTACGTTCGTGGAATTGATATAAAAACCAAATTATTATAAAATTATTACTACAAAGAACGATACTATAGAATTTTCAGTTTTATTATTTTCACCCTCGTAGAGCAAGGCAATCGGAAGCGCCGCATACAATTCTGCTTGGTACAATATGAAAACTAAGGAGAGTCGTATTTTATTATTTATAATTTTACGATCGCAGAGGCAATTGACACTTACAGCAGGCAAGATGGCTGTTCTCTCCTTAGAGTGCTTCACAAATGTAAGATTCGTAATAATTATATTATAGAAAAACATTTTCGATTGATATGTTTACGTGTATTTTAATTGAAATTAATTATGTATAATGACGTAGTTATCTATATCGTTTATCTGTCATAACAAATCATACGCTATAATGGACATCATCTATACAGTGTTTTCTGTCGTATGCAATTTTTTACATAAACTCATAGTATATCATAATACGTAGTGTACACTGAGAGAAAAAAATAGTCATTTTTGGACCCAACCATATTTTTATAATTGCATGGACCAATATTGTGTTTATGAGAACTATAATATTGTTAGGTCAACCATAAATTACGTTGGAGGAATTATAAAAATATGGTTGGGTCCAAAAATGACTATTTTTTTCTCTCTGTGTACATATGGTTTTCTATATCATTAATAAGAGCCACATTATTATAGATCATGAAAGCTTCGGGGTCGTATTTGTCGGTACTACTGGCAATGAAATGAATAATATCCATCTTGTAATTTCGAAGTGGCAGTCATGAAGTAACGAACAAAGTGGTTGTATTAAAGTTGATTTTCTAAATTAGGACACAGTACATATATATACACATATATAAATATATGTATACATAGTAAATATTTTTTTAAATGTATACTATTTTAGACCAACGTAATATACACAGTTACTAAGTGCATATAGAAAATTGTAACACAGAGATCGTGATATTCTTTTCAAGTGTGGGAAGAATTGTATGTATTCTTATACGGCTTCTGTTTGGGACACAGCTTCTCAATCTTTCAAATATATTCCCGCGCATATAAACACACTGTACACACCTGGTTTTCACCTGTGCATTCTACGCACTTGTCGATATCTTATAAATGTCACCGTCGCACCGCAGATACGCCGCCGCGACTGCGTCGCTTGCGAGAAAAGTCGTATACTTTTGAAACCCATTTACTTTTGCAACACTGCGGCTTATCCGCTGCTTCTCCGCTGCTCCGGCGCATGAACTTGAAAACTTTTCCGGCTGAAATACGACTGACCGTCGGACGCGTACGCGTCGCCGCGTTCGCGTCCACGCGAATCATTGCATATTTAAATACGCGATTACATCACCGGCGCCCAAGGGAAGGAGAGATGACCCTACGTGGTCTCCCTCTTCTTGTATCGATGTTGGGAGAAGCTACGGTAAGCGTACGCGCGCGAGGGCTGCGTGCGGCACGAGAAAAATATTTAATGAGATATTCCCATTGGCCGATTATGGTAGGGAGCGCCCATTTCATGACTTCATAGGACTTCTCAGTCTTTATGCAGTTATTCTAGAATACACATCGAGGCCTCATTGGCATATACGTTGACAAGGAGAGAAAGTTTGAGGGAGAGAAAAAAAACACTGTTTCGTTACTTTTCTGAAAGAGCGTGTGTCCCGTTGCGTAGAAATTCATGCTCTCCCCCGCGTGAAAAAAACGAAAACGAAGAGAAATAAGGGATTATGACGCGTAAAAGCACAATTAATCGCACGTTAAAATTAATGCTCACTCTGTGCGGTATATGGCCGGGCACATCGTGTATTATAATCTGCAGAGCGTATTGGATTATCGCGTTAGCAACAGATGAAATTTGTCACTACCGTTATCTTTTAATGCATTTTCACTCTAACGATCTTTTTGACTTGATGGACTGTTTCAGCAGTTTCCTAACGCAAGTCAAATTTACGATTAAGTTGATTATATTTTGGCTGAACGAACGGTAAGTAATGCTACGTAAATCATTTGCGCTTATGTATTACTCAGAGATTATTCCATTACTTTCTACTAAAGTCTCTTGTAATATTTACATTTATAATCAATATATACAGAGATAAATAAAATATTTAACCATTCACGAATATTTGCTTTTCCCTAATTTATTACAAACGTCCTAGTTTAGTTCTTCCTAAAGAAATAATAAAGTTAAAATATTGCTTAGAGATAAACATGTGTTAATACAACTATATGAAACATGTCTTGCAATATACTTCTCTAAATACATAAGCTTGAAAATGTGTCACAACTTCTTCCACAGCCGGTGGAATAGTAATTCATGATTCACAATTCCCAGAAAATTCATCGAGATCTTGACGATGATGGCAGAAGATTGGAACGATTGTGCTGGCAACGACGTTAACATGCGCGAAACGGCGTACAAAGCTAAATTAGCAGACCGTATCACTAACGCGATGTTCACTCTTCACACGTTGACCATCGTTGCGTACAGTATCGGCATTCTCTTGGCCGACGTCGACGTCACCAGTCAGTCCGAATTACCTCTTCTCTTAAAGGTGGAGCTTCCTGTCGACATAAATACAAAACGCATGTATAAAATGCTATTGAGCATGCAATTCGTGCATCTTATCATGTCCGGCTGTGGGACGGGTTTACTGAACGCCTTGCTCTTAACTTTGGTAAGTCGCAAACGCGTGCGAAATGTGCACTTGTCATAAATAGTTGTAAAATATGGACTAATATTCAGCTGTGACAATTTATAGTTACACGGTAAAAAATAAAATGTTAATGTTAACATTTTTCACATGTCCGAAAAGGTCCACTCTAAATTTTAAGTTATGACAACATTCGTCGCGCGCGTCACTTTTTGACAAGTGATAAATGTTAATTAATTAACACTATACTTCACATTGTATTTATATTCTTTTCACCATAAGTGTGATGTAATAAAAACAAACGGGATAAGTAAACTGTATACGAATGTTACAAATTAGAATAGTTGAAATAATTTTTAAGAAATATCGATATTACACGTTTTGGTTGATTCCGTGAAATAGTTGTGTTAAAAGAACTCAAAATGATAATCAATTTTCAAATCACGTACATAAAGTGTTAAGTTATTATGTTAACATAAATATAACACATACGAATGTTACGAAAATAATAGCATATCCGTTTTATGTTAATTTTACGTTGAAATAATAATCAAGTCTTGGTAACACAAGAAAATTTTAACATTTCAACACACGATTTTTTACTGCGTGTATGGCAACACAATATTTTTAGCAAACTATGATTAGCTACGATAGTGAAACATTTCTTTTCAGTGCAATTGATAATTGCAAAAGTAATGGGCAATTAGTATCCTGCCAAAACAATATCTTTTTCGCACCGCTTAAACATGTATCGTTTCAATCAATTTGATAGACACGACGTTTATTCCGATTCTCGTTTTCAGACTTTACACGTAGGTGGTCAAATGGATATCCTACGCTGCTGGTTAAACGAGCTCGTACCGAGGGGAAATGGAGAGAGATCCGAATCTGTCGCCGTTACGACAAATAAAATCATTCGCAAGCATCAAAGAATCATTAACTTTTCAGAATACATTGAGGATTTATATACATATATCGCGTTAGTGCAATTCACCACGAACACTGTGCTCATTTGCTCCTTGGGGTTTCTAATCGTAACGGCGAGTGAAAACATTAAGTATTACGCATAATGAATATTACATTATAGCACATTAATCGTATTTTTGTTACAAAATTCTCTGCAACTTTATGCATTTGATCTACACAAAATTTATTTTACACATAAATTTACATAACTGCTGCTTTGATATTGCAGGCAATTGGCAGTCCCGATGCGACGGAGCACATAGTGCGGTCTCTTTTATTTTACACTGTAACGAATCTCGAAGCGTTTATATTTTGTTACGCAGGAGAATATTTGAAAAACAAGGTTAGACATGAGACGAGAAAATTATGACCATCAATAACAGTTATTTGAATCTATCGCGTTAGAGAATATTGTACGTCATGATCTCACAATTATTTTCACTTTTCTAGAGTAAAGCTATCGGAAATGCGGCGTATAATTCCGCCTGGTACGAAATGAAACCTAAAAATAGTCGTAATTTGATTTTCGTGATATTAAGAGCGCAGAAGCAATTGACACTTACAGTTGGAAAAATAATGGATCTCTCCTTAGAATCTTTTACAAGTGTAAGATTCACACGCAACACACAAAATAATTTTGGACAATAACTGTATACATAATATTTGTATCAAGATACTTTCCACATAAAGTTTGCCATTTTGGTCTACGTAAATTCTTTTATTCCGTCACGTTAGTAAATTTCTCGTCGCAGCATACGGAATGTGCATTTTTTATGACAAAATTATTATCTCTTAAAATATTAATCTCTAATACAAAAAGTTCATACTTTATTATAGATCATGAAAGCCTCGGGATCATATTTGTCGGTATTGCTGGCTATGCAATAAACGCATAGTATATTTGAAGATTTTTATACGATAGTCCTCAAGCATATATCGTGTAATATATCTTCAGTGATAGAAATGTGCATAGTACAATTTATATTTTCATAATATGAAAATAGCATAGTAAAATATAGCCTAAAATAGTAATAATTTAGATATCCTAAAACAATACTAATTTACGGATAAACATAAAAAGATAAGTCATTCTTCTTGTTATCAATACCTTAATAGATCCTTATTTCCAAGGAATAGTAAAATTATATATATAATATAATTTTGTGTGTGTGTGTGTGTGTGTGTAAAATACTACGTCATCAATACTGTTAATAATTAAAATCAAACTGACGAGAAGTGTAGCAACCTGATATACCTCTTTTATATTTTTCATGTCATGTTTTAGACACGTTTGCCTCTTTTTTAGTAAAATTATTGAGAGTTAGACAAAATAATTAAATAACCAGACATATATAGTAGTTCTTCAAAAAATATCATTAAAATTGTTTTGCATATAAATTATAGAAAATATAAAATAGAAAGTTTTAACATGATGTTAACAACAATGTAATATTTAATCTGCTTAAATATTGACGTACGTAACTTCTGATTTATATGTAATATACTATTTCACGTACATTCTCACACAAATCCATACATTTGCTAATCCTAGTTATGTTTCATCAGTATCAATATTTCGACAACACAAATCCACCGTTAGCTATTACAAACGAAGCAATGTAAAGTTTTGTAGTGTTGCACATAGTTGCTCGGTTCTTCAGCCTCTAGAGATTAAAACTTTCTTGAAATACAGTAGTCACGACTGACCATCGAACATATACCGCCATATACACGTCCGCACGCATCGTTGCATATTTAAAGTGGACAATTCGATGACGATCGTAGTACCAGCGCACAACGGAGAGGGGAAAAAAGACTTCAGCGATCTTTCCGTTTCTTACATTAAATTCATGAAAAACTACAACAAAATGTATTCGCGGTCTATGCAATCGGCTGGATAAAAATATTTTATGAGCAACATCAATTGCGATCAATTGCCGAAGGCTGAACTCACTAATTTCTTAGAATACTTCAATTTTCTTTATGCAGGCATTCTATAATACTCGTAGAGCTATCATCGTAACGTACTTACGCACGCGTTTGATCAGAATACATTTCTTTCATCTATCCGACGATTTTCGTTCTATTATACATACCCTAATGGATTCGCTTTTGTGTACAGCAGAACATAAAGAGAAATAAGACATTATGGTTCGTAAAAGTACGTTTAACCGCACATTGAAGTTTATGCTTGCTTTATGTGGTATATGGCCAGGCACATCGTATGTTCTGCTCTGCAGAATATTTTGGATGGTTTCTTTGACAGTTGTCACATTCTGCCACTACCGTTACTTTGTGACACATTTATACACTGCCGAAGTTTTGGATTTGATGTCTTGTCTGTCCAGCTTTCTCGCATATTCCAAACTAATTATCAAGTTCACAGTGTTTTGGTTCAATCAACAGTAAGTAATATGTATACATTTATCTTAACCTGTGGAAACACGCGGAAAAAATATTACATTAATATGCACTCGTATCAAAACTCCAACGAAAGATACTGTAACTCCAAAACCAATTTTTCAGAAGATTTCTTTATACAATAGTTTTCCTCTCAAAAATAGAATTGTGAGTAATACATTATGTAGCCACAATACTTTCTTTTTTTATACAATGTGCATCATATAGCGATTTGGGTTGTTTCAGGTGAGAAAATATTATAAAGCGTTCTCTCTTAAAAATACAGTTGCAAAAATGCATTATTTTTCTCTCTTCTAGCATCAATATATTTTATTAAATTAGCAGCATATGATCAAAGCTAGTTGATAGATAAAAATATGAATAATTACTTTGTAGTGTCTAACGATAACAAATCTTTAAACAAATCAACACGATGACAATTAAGATTATCTTACAATTAATAGCAATCTATGAAAACACTCATCCACAGAAAATTCATCAAAATCATGGCATTGATGGCGGAAGATTGGAATAATTGCGCTAACAACGACATCAGCATGCGTGAGACGGAACGTAAAGCGAAAATGTCGGATCGTATTACGGATGCGATCATCACCCTTCACGCAATCTCAATCGTTGCATATTGCCTCGGTATCATCCTGGCCGATGCCGATGTCACGGATACTACGAAAGAACTGCCTTGGATCGACAGAATAGAAATCCCTTTCGACGTAAACACACAATCAACATACAGAATCATTTTAATCGCAGAATTTTTGTTTCTGGTTCCTTGTGGGTTGGTGGCTGGTATAACAAACTCCTTACTATTGACATTGGTAAGATTTGATTCTCCATTTACTCGCGAGGCTCTAATTAAAAATAGTATGCATTCTCAAATGTCAAAAAATGTAAAGTTTGATATTAAATATATGAAAAATTTTAATTATATAACATTTGGCACGTTATGTGTGTGCGTGCGTTTATCTGATTTATTGTTTAAATATTAATCTCATTCGTGAATTAATTTCACCGTAATGATATCTTTATTTTCAGGTCTTACATACGGCCGGCCAAATCGAAATTATAAGTCACTCGCTGGCGCAGCTGTCTTGTAAAAACGAGGGCAAATCAATCGCTGCGACTACGAGCAAAATTATTCAAAAGCACCAAAAAATTATCAAGTTTTCGAGGCATATTGAAAGTCTTTATACATATATTGCATTGCTGCAGTTCGTGTCAAACACGATAATGATTTGTTCGCTGGGTTTCGTTATTGTAACAGTGAGTACCGTTCAATACAAAACTATGTACTTCTGTGAGAATTGTAATTCTTCTCAGAACTGTAATTCTTCAAGTATTTCCTAACAATATGATATTAGATATAAATTTATTTTTTAATATTCTCTATGGTACATTACATCTATCTGTAATTTTTTACAAATTTTCTCATTTATGAATTTGCTCTCTATGACACATCATATAAAAAAAAGTTATATATAGATTTATATTTAATAACTTTTCGCACAATATTCTTGCACGATATTGCAGGCAATTGGTAGTCCCAATGCAGTGGAACAACTCATGAAATCATTTTTATTTTATACTATAACAAATCTCGAAGCATTTATATTTTGCTACGCTGGAGAATATTTAAACAATAAAGTTAGTTAGGCAAGACAATATTTATAATGATGATAAAGTAGTGCTGGCAGACAACTGTTTCTTTTATATTGTAAAAAAATTGTAAACTATATTAGAAATTGTTTCATTTGCCTTTTCATAGAGCAGCGAAATTGGTGTCGCAGCATATAACTGTGAGTGGTACGATTTAAAATCTGCAGAAAGTCGTCTTCTATTATTTATCATAGTAAGATCGCAGAAACAGCTGTCACTCACAGCAGGAAAAGTAACGGATCTTTCCTTACAATCTTTTACAAGCGTAAGATTTACTCATGAACATCTCTTTAAAAGCGAAGAGAAAAATGAAAATCAGAAGAAACATATACATTTACTTATTATTAAATTAAAAATATTTTTTAAATGTAAAAGAGTCAATGTTGTTTTAGATTATGAATGCTTCGGGATCATATTTGTCAGTATTGCTGGCTATGCAATAAATAGTATGTTTGCAATAAATAGAAATGCATAGCATTGTTGAAGATTTTTACACAATAGTCCTGAAGCATATATCGTGTAATATATCTTCAGGGATAGAAATGTGCATAGTACAATATATATTTTCATAATATGAAAATAGGATAGTAAAAAATAGCCTGAGATAGTACTAATTTAAATTTTCTAAAACAATACTAATTTACGGATAAACATAAAAAGATAAGTCATTCTTCTTGTTATCAGTACCTTAATAGATCCTTATTTCCCAGAAATAATAAAACTACATATATATATAATATAATTGTGTGTGTGTGAGTGTAAAATACTACGTCATCAATACTGTTAATAATTAAAATCAAATTGACGAGGAGTGTAGTAACCTGATATATTATACTTCTTTTATATTTTTCATGTCATGTTTTATACACGTTTGCGTATTTTTTAGTAAAATTACTGAGAGTTAGACAAACTAATTAAATAACCAGGTATACATATATAGTAGTTCTTAAAAAATTATCGTTAAAATTATTTTGCATTTATATTATAGAAAATATAATATATTATAGAAAGTTTTAAATCGATGTTAACAACAATGTAATATTTAATCTGCTTAAATATTGACGTACGTAACTTCTGATTTATATGTAATATACTATTTCACGTGCATTTTCACACAAATCCATTTGCTAATCCTAGTTATGTTTTGTTAGTATCAATATTTCGACAACACAAATCCACTGTTGTTTTTTTTCTTCTTCTTCCTCATATATTAGGCTTAAAGCCTGTTTTATCTCGTTCTGGTACTTTGAGCATTTGGTTTTATTTCATCTTCAGTAGGCTGCTAACCTTGCCGAAGGAAACCACCCCTCTGGTGGGCTATACCCTTAAAGGGATATGCGTCGCAAGATACTGTCGGTGGTTGCCACTTCGGGAGATTCCGAAAAAAATCAGCTGTGTTCGTGGATTTGAACTCAGTTCGTTTCGTTCATCTGTTTACTAAGAAGCGCACGTTTCTCTGCACCACATTTGTCACCAAGAATCCACTGTTAGCTATTACAAACGAAGCAATGTAAAGTTTTGTAGTATTGCACATAGTTGCTCGGTTCTTTAGCCTCTAGAGATTAAAACTTTCTTGAAGCACCGTAGTCACGACTGACTATCGGACATATGTATACCGCCGCATATGTCGTCTACGTACATACATCTACGTCCACACGTATCGTTGCATATTTAAAGTGGACAATTCGATGGCGATCGTAGTACCGGCTCACAACGGAGAGGGGAAAAAGACTTCAGCGATCTTTCCATTTCTTACATTTTTATGGAAAACCACGACGAAATGTATTCGCGGTCTATGCACTCGGCTGGATAAAAATATTTTATGAGCAACTTCAATTGCGATCAATTGCCGAAGGCTGAACTCACTAATTTCTTAGAATACTTCAATTTTCTCCATGTAGGCATTCAATAATATATGTAGAACTATCATCAAAACGTACGCACGCGGTTGATCAGAATACATTTCTTTTATATATCCGAGGATTTTCGTTCTATTATACACATCTTAATGGATTCGCTTTTGTGTACAGCAGAGCATAAAGAGAAATAAGAAACTATGACTCGTAAAAGTACGTTTAACCGCACGTTGAAGTTTATGCTCGCTTTATGTGGTATTTGGCCAGGCACATCTTATGCTTTGCTCTGCAGAATATTTTGGATCGTTTCTTTGACAGTTGTTATATTCTGCCACTACCGTTACTTTGTGACACATTTCTATACTGCCGAAGTTTTGGATTTGATGGATTGTCTGTCCACCTTTCTTGCATATTCCAAAATACTTATCAAGTTTACAGTGTTTTGGTTCAATCAACAGTAAGTAATATGTATATATTTATCTTAACCTTGGAAAACACTCGGCAAAAATATTGCAATTAATATGCATTCGTATCAAAATCCCAACTGTAAAATACTGTAACTCCAAAAACCAATTTTTCAGAAGATTTCTTTATTCAATAGTTTTCTTCTCAAAAATAGAATATATTATATAGCCACAATACTTTCTTTTTTGATAAAACGTACATCGTGTAGCGATTTGGCCGGTTTCAGGTGAGAAAATATTATAAAGCGTTCTCACTTAAAAATACAGCTGCAAAAATGCATTATTATTAATTCGTCTGTCGTCAATATATTTTACTAAATTAACAATATATGAACAAAGCTAGTTGATAAATAAAAATATGAATAATTACTTTCTAGTGTCTAGAGATAACAAATCTTTAAAGAAATCAACAAAATGACAATTAAGATTATCTTACAATTAATAGCAATCAATGAAAACACTCATCCACAGAAAATTCGCCAAAATCGTGGCATTGATAGCGGAAGATTGGAATGATTGCGCTAACAACGACATCAGCATGCGTGAGACGGAACGCAAAGCAAAAATGTCGGATCGTATTACAAATGCGGTCGTCATTCTTCACACAATGACAATCGTTGCATATTGCCTCGGTATCATCCTGGCCGATGCCGATATTACGGATACCACGAAAGAACCGCTTTGGGTCAACAAGATACAAATTCCTTTCGACGTAAAGACACAATCAACATACAGAATCATTTTAATAGCAGAATTTTTGTTTATGGTCCCTTGTGGGTGGGTGGCTGGTATAACAAACTCCTTACTATTGACATTGGTAAGATTTGATTCTCCATTTACTCGCGAGGCTCTAATTAAAAATAGTATGCATTCTCAAATGTCAAAAAATGTAAAGTTTGATATTAAATATATGAAAAATTTTAATTATATAACATTTGGTACGTTATGTGTGTGCGTGCGTTTATCTGATTCATTGTTTAAATATTAATCTCATTTGTGAATTAATTTCACCGTAATGATATCTTTATTTTCAGATCTTACATACGGCCGGCCAAATCGAAATTATGAGTCACTGGCTGGCGCAGCTGTCTTGTAAAAACGAGGGCAAATCAATCGCTGCGACTACGAGCAAAATTATTCAAAAGCACCAAAAAATTATCAAGTTTTCGAGGCATATTGAAAGTCTTTATACATATATTGCATTGCTGCAGTTCGTGTCAAACACGATAATGATTTGTTCGCTGGGTTTCGTTATTGTAACAGTGAGTATCGTCAATACAGAATTATGTAATTCTGTGAGAATTGTAATTCTTCTCAGAATTGTAATTCTTCAAGTATTTCCTAACAATATGATATTAGATATAAATTTATTTTTTAATATCCTCTATGGTACATTACATCTATCTGTAAGTTTTTACAAATTTTCTCATTTATGAATTTACTCTCTATGACACATCATATAAAAAAAGTTACATATAGATTTATATTTAATAACTTTTCGCACAATATTCTTGCACGATATTGCAGGCAATTGGTAGTCCCAATGCAGTGGAACAACTCCTGCAATCATTATTATTTTATACTATAACAAATCTCGAAGCATTTATCTTTTGCTACGCTGGAGAATATTTGAACAATAAGGTTAGTTAGGCAAGACAATATTTATAATGATGATAAAATAGTGCTGGCAGGTTTCTTGTATGTCGTAAAAAAAATTGTAAACTATATTAGAAATTGTTTCATTTGCCTTTTCATAGAGCAGAGAAATTGGTGTCGCCGCGTATAACTGTGAGTGGTACGATTTAAAATCGGCAGAAAGTCGTCTTCTGTTATTTATCATAGTAAGATCGCAGAAACAATTGTCACTCACTGTAGGAAAACTGATGGATCTTTCCTTACAATCTTTTACAAGCGTAAGATTTACATAAACATGAAACATATTCATTTACTTACTATATAATTAAAAATATTTTTAAAATGTAAAAGAGCCAATATTGTTTTAGATTATGAATACTTCGGGATCGTATTTGTCAGTGCTGTTGGCAATGCAATAAGCAGTTCGACAATTTTTAAATAATTTTAGACAATTTGAAGTTATCTGTAAATCACTGGTTACAGAAACACACGGTTTAATATAATATATTTTTCTAAATATAATCATAAAATGTTTAATTCTTTTCGTTTAAATAATCGGTACATTTACAGATGAGAAATATTGTAAACACTTGTCGCTATGCAAGAATTAATTTGCTTAAATTCTGGTTACTATAAATAAAATAATGTAAATTTCTGTAACGTGGCACACTTTCTTCCCTTCTTTTAGATTGTAGAATTTTTCTGAGGGGTCGTAAACACAGGTGACCATCGCACATTATCATTATATTTACGTCTACACGAATCATTACATATTTAAAGCAGACAACATGTGGTTATGTTACTAACGCCCAAGAGAGGGAAGAATGACCCTTCTTTCTTACTTTCCCAAGCAACAGAAATGTCGAAAATATCGTACACGTACTAGAAAAAAAATTTTTAATAAATTTTGGTATAATTGTTAGATTTATCTATAGACATTTTATTCGGACATTTTAAAGGTAATATTTTTTATAGGTACTTGCATTTATGATAAATTTTTGTGACTGACATAACATACTTTGTATTTATTTATTTAATTAATTTGTACACAATAATCTGTAATACGCGCCAAACATGTAATTCTATTTACCCTCCCTTTTCACGCATGTAATTTATTTGCATTGCGGTAAATTGTTTCACTGTCGCACAAAAATTTCTATAAAATTCTTGTTACATTGCCGAAACACATGACTACTGCTACAATAACACAAGTTGTGACAAATATTTGTAATTATTACAAACAACATAACGTGGAGTTTTGCGCGCGTTTTCTTTCCTTCTAATTTTCTAGACTCTAGATTTCAGAACCCTCCTAAGAGCCGCGGACTGACAGCGGATGAACATAGCCATATCTATCTCCATGCGAATCATTGCATATTTAAAGTCGACAATTCCGCGGTTGTATTACCAGTATTCAAGGGAGGGAAAAGCGAACGTGTTTTTCTTCCCTTGTCTTGCAATAAACTTGTAAAATACACACGACAAATATATTTGCGACCTGTGCATACGGCACGATACAAATATTTAATGAACATCTTTTATTGATCAGTTGCCGTAGGTTGTATTTGTTTAATGATCTTTTAGATTTCTCTCTGTCTCCCAGCCTCAGGCAGATATTCAGTAATGTATAGTTTCCAGCAAAATATAAACTATAATTCACCGAACTGTCCATTGAAAGACAGATACATATTTGACTGGAGTATATTTCTTTTGCTTTATCGAAGCTTTTATTCTGTTATCTGTCACATTGACAAATTCGCTTGCATGAACGGACGAGAATAAAAAGAAAAAGGAAATTATGGTTTGTCAAAATCCACTTAATCGCACGATAAAATTTATGCTCACTTTGAGCGGTACTTGGCCAGGCGCATCGTGCATTCTGCCTTTTAGAACGTTTCTCGTCGTTTCAGTAATAGTTACTACTTTCTGTAATTTACGTTACTTTATGATACACATGTATACTGGGACGCTTGGGAACTTCATAGACTGCCTGTCTATCATCTTCGCACATTTCAAGGTACTTTTTAAGTGCCTCACATTGTGGTTTAATCAGCGGTAAGTAACCCCGGTAGGAAAATGCTCCAAATATTGTGTAATCATTGCATCATCCAAAAGGCAAAAAATTGCGCAATGATTGCATTAAGGTGATTCGTCAAAACGCAGCGGTTTTGTAGGAATAAAATTTTTTAATGGTATTTGCCCGAAAATTTGCTTAGCTTAATTCGTTTCTGTCTCTTTCCAGCTGTTACTTTAGAAAGAGACAAACATGAATTAAACTAATTGTAAGATTAAAGTTAAGTTTGGTGAAACCGGGCCTAAGGGCCAATTTTACAAACGTCGGTTAACTGTTAATCAGAGTTCAGTCGACTCCCTATCTCTTTTCCATCTCATTATTTAACAAGAGACAGAGAATTAATTAACCTTCGGTTAACAGTTAACCAACGTTTGTGAAACTGGCTCTTAGAAGAGACAAATTCAAAAAGATGCGTGTTTGCAGGGTGAAAATTCAGACTGCTTTAAGATAAACAATGTAATGCAAACACTACTGTCCACAGAAAATTCATAGAAATCTTGAACATGATGAGGGAGGATTGGAATGATTGTACCAATAACGATGTCAGCATGCGCATAACAGCGAGCAAAGCGAAATCGTCGGAACGTATTACATATGTGATTGCCATTCTTCAAACATTATCAGTTCTTGGATACAGTAGCGGTCCGTTGCTGGCCAATATCGATGTCACTAATAACACGACAGAAATACTTTTCATTACCAAGATGGAAGTCCCCTTCGACATAAACACGCAACGCACATATAGACTGCTTTTAATGGCGGAATGTTTTACTCTGTTCATATACTCCTGGTCGGCTGGTGCAATAAATTGTCTGTTATTAATTCTGGTAAGTTGAGGATGTACAAATATTTCAGATCGAAGACGCAGTTGAATTTATAATTTCATAAGGTTTCAATTTTATTTATTCGGTAATATATTTAATTTTATTTAGCAATTGCATTGTACGCATTTCAAAAAACATAATATATTTAAAAATTAAATTAAATTATCTATGTTATTCGATTTACATATATTTACGGAAATCGTGTATTTTACATTTTGATAATATGATTTTGCATCTTCTCTACTTAAACATAAACCAGCTGTGGAGTCTGATTACTCACCCATGCGAGTAATGGAATCTTTATTTTCAGACCTTGCATATAGCTGGCCAAATCGATATTGTGTGTTATTGGTTGACGCATGTCGCACCCTCCGGAGATGAGAATAAAGATGAATCAATCACCATCGCAACGACTAAAATTATTCAGAAGCATAAAAAGATCATACGCTTTTCGAACATTGTCGAAACCCTTTTTGCGTATATTACGCTGATGCAGTTTGTGTTAAACACGATAATGATCTGCGCGCTAGCTTTCCTCGTCGTATCAGTGAGTAAGATTATTAAATATAAACTTGTTTCTCTAATATGATGGCAAATAACATTATTAAATCGTCATTTATTTGTCAATATATTCAACTCTATTTTACTTTTCTAAATTATGTTTTTATCAACTTCTTTCACGTTTAACAGGTAATATTCTAAAGAGTTATTGATTTATAATATAATAGTTAATATATAATAATAATCAGTATAATAATTAAATATATTATATCCAATAATATGTGCGCATATTGTACATTAATCTTATATTAAGTTTATATTTAATCATTTTTGACACGTCGTTGTTCTACAATATCGCAGGCAATCGGCACCCCCGATATGAAACAGTCAATAGTGAAATGTTTTTTCTTTTATATTGCAACGAATCTCGAAGCATATATATTTTGTTTTTCTGGAGAACATCTGCAAAATAAGGTTAGGCAAAATACTTTATAATAAAGTACTAATATAAATTATTAATAATAACATATTAATTAACATTTCAAATTAGAAAGACTTTACGAAGAATACCAAAACATAAAAAGTTTTCTAACATTCTCATCTTTGTAGAGCAAAGAGATTAGTCTTGCGGCGTACAACTCTGCATGGTACGGTATGAAATTAAAAGACAGTCGTATCCTATTATTTATCATCTTAATATCACAAAAGCCACTGACACTTACAATTGGAAAGATGACGGATTTATCCTTGCAATCTTTTACAAAAGTAAGAATTTTATATAAGAACGCCATTAAAAAGGCATAACAAAAGCATTTCTTTACAATATTAAAAACAGAAATTATGAATTCTTCAATGTAAAAGTATAATATTCTTCTAGATTATGAATGCTTCGGGATCATATCTGTCGATCCTATTGGCGATGCGATAAACACGGAATCGTTAATTTTTTAGCAACAGTAAAAACAACTATTATGAGTTATACATACATCAGTATTTCCAGAAAATCGTGTCGTAATACAGTATTTTTCCCTAAATATGTAGGATGATAAGCTAAATCGTTCTCTCTAAAATTACAATACATCATAATGTAACCAGATTTCGCGTAAGCATTATATAAATCATGAAATTTTTCCTTGCATAATTTAAGGTAAAATGTAAAAATGTTTTATTATTCTCTGCAAAAGAATTCTTCTATCTGTATGTTGGATATAAAACAATAAATGCACTAATATTATTTTATACATAGTTTCTAACAGACATTTCCTATATATATATTATACGAATATATTTTATATAACAGAAAAATTAGATAACACTTGTACAAAATCAGAGAAATTTCAAAAAGAGATATTCACTACATAATGTTGTCACGAATCAACGTACGTAATGTAATACTATAAGACTAGATAAAAATTGATAGTAATATCGCCAGCGCAACGGCACTGCCACTATTCCATCTTCTGGTCGATTTCCAGGAAAGACTGTGATGCCGTGACGAAAAAAAATCGAGGATATTCTCTCCGTGGGACGAACCACACGCGCATGCCCCTTCAAATGTATCATTACATATTTAATATACGTACTTCATGGTTGCATTGTGGCTACATTGTCGGTACTAGAGGCGGGCGAAAAACATTTTATTTATTCCCTCTTTTCTACAAAATTTGTAAGGGAAACACGACGGGTGTATCTGAGATCTGCACGCACAATAAAAATATTTCATGAGCAATTTCAAGTGTTCGATTCGCCGGGGATGCACCCATTGAACACCTCCCGCGACACACAGGCTTTACTCAGGCGTTCAATGATATACATCGTGCTATCATTGGAAGATACAATACATATCTGTCGTCGAAAGCAACAGCGATAGAGCATTTCGTTCCTTTAAAAATCTTTACTTTGTGAGATATTTTCTAATGCACTCGCTCGGATACGACCGACTGCAAAGAGAAATAAAGGACTATGCCTCGTAAAAGCACGATTAGCCGCATAGTGTTTCTTATACTCCCGTGGTCCGGCGTCAGCTCAAACAGATTGGTCATCTTAATCGCCAGATTGTTCTGGATTGTTACAATAGCATTTATCGGATTCTTTCACTATCTCTATTTCTCGACGCACTTAAATTCAGAGAATTTTTTCAACCTGGTGGACTGCTTCAGTAGCTTTTTGGCACACGTCAATGTATTCACGAAGCTCGTTGCATTCTGGATCAACCAGCGGTAAGTAGAGTGAACGTGTTGACTAAAGTATTACTTACAATTACTTTTTAAGTTAGAAAAGTGTTATTGCTATAATTCAACTATAAAACAACTATTGAGGACAAAATTCATAATATTGGTCGCGCTAAAAAGCTACGTAGTTCCCGCTTCCCTTGTAACTCTTCTTCGGCACATTTAATTCTTCGGTAATCTTATTGTTAATTCTGAAAAACAATAAATAGTTGAAATATGCAAGATAAAATTTCGTTCAAAGACGAAGTGACTCCAATGCTGTGCCATATAATTCGACAACATGATCGAGGATCACTCCCCAGTGAGAAATGATTCGTCGATCGATGTCGAAATGATGTCGACTCGACGTCAATTTGACGGTGTCGATTCGATATCGTTTCGACACCGCTCGACGAATCATTTCTCACTGGGTCGTCCACAGAAAATTCGAGGAGACGTTGGTGTTAATCACGGACGACTGGAATGATTGCGCTAAGAATAACGTAGGCATGCGCGTGATGACAGACAGGGAAAAAATATCGGCTCGCATTACTAACACTTTGGTCGTACTCAATACAATGGCTATCTTTGCGTATTGCCTGGGAGTCATCATCGCTGATGCCGATGTTAACGATAAAACGATCGAGTTGCCTTTTGTCAACAAATTAGAGTTTCCCTTCAGTATTAATACACAGCGAATGTATAGATTTGTGTTAATCGCTGAATTTATGCACTTGATTCTTTGCAATGGGGTAGCTGCCGCTTACAACGCTGTACTTTTGTCACTGGTAAGTTACCACCCCAGAAGCGGTTGTAAGTAAAAAATTTATTATGCCCTTAGAGTGAAATCTGTTTAGTGGAAAATTCATCGTTAAATCGTGTAATCGTTCTGAAAAAAGATTTGCGAATGAATTTAGGTGTTGAAAACCTGCTATCTCATATTATAAACCTATCTCATAATGGAGGACTTTCCTCTATAATGATAGCAATTGTAAATTTGTGTTGTCTTTTTCGTCGAGTGACAGATCTAATATAAAACTGTTCCACAGTTTCGGGCTTTGCAAAAAATCTATATACCTATAACTCTAAAAAAGAATCGCGACAAGTATGTTAGGTATTTTAAATTAATTTTTATAAATACAGTTCACGAATTAGTGATGTTGTTTCCGTTTTTCCATACAAGCCATTCGTGATCCAATTTGTTTTATGGTACATGCAGCTAAAACAACTAAATAAAAATGTCTTTTTTAGGTATTCCATGTAGGTGGCCAAATAGATATTCTGCAATGTTGGCTGGCAGAGCTTACTCCAAATGAAATGGAAAATAAACAAGAATCAAGCATTATTGCAGGAAACAAAATCATTCTAAAGCATCAAAAAATCATTCAGTTTTCAGAAAATATAGAGCGCTTGTACACGCATATCGCGTTAATATTATTTGCATCGAACACAATGTTGATTTGCTCCCTGGGTTTTCTCATCGTAACGGTGAGTAAAATAGTCAATTACACTGTAGAGAGACATTTTTACATTCTGTAATAATATTCTGTAATAATCTGTGTAATTTGTTCTGGTTCTTCCAACGTTAAATAAAATGTATAATACTATTATATCTTTTTAATTTCTTAGGCGGTTGGTTCTGCCGATGCTACGGAGAAGATTATAAAATGCCTTTTATTTTTCACGATAACGAATCTGGAGGCATTTGTATTTTGCTACGCTGGAGAGTATCTAAACAATAAGGTCAGCGATGGAAGATAATTACTATAACGATAAAATAAAATAGTAACGACAATAAAGATAATTTTATGTATCTCTTTATGAAACGAGACATGCAATATTGAACTTTAAACTATATGACTATATACTATAATAATATTACAAATATCTTTATCATTCTTACTTATTTGTTAGTATTTTTTGCAACGAAAATTTCTTTTAATTACACCAGTTGTATCGAATAATATAATTTGTCTGTTATTTAATAACTGGTGAAGAAAATTATTATTACTCATGTTTATAATTTTTTATTTCATAGAGCACAGGGATTGGATTTGCAACGTATAACTGTGCGTGGTACAATTTTAAATCTAAAGATAGTCGTGTTTTGTTACTTATAATTTTAAGATCCCAGAGGCAATTGACATTAACAGCTGGCAAAATGATGGATCTCACCTTACAATCCTTTGCAAGTGTAAGATTCAAGCAGAGAACAAATTTTTATCGTTAACACTGTTTTTCCGTACTCGCAATATTTACTAGACCAAATTCTCTCTTAGGATCACTCTTTTTGTTATTTATGCAAATACCAATATGCTATTAGCATAAATATTAATTTCTAATATAAGCAACGTTGTTATAGATTATGAATGCTTCGGGATCCTACCTGTCAGTGTTGTTGGCGATGCAATAAACATCACGCTCACCTCGATAACTTTTAATCAATAGTCGTGAAGCGTGTGTATACATGTCTTCACTAGTTACACTAACACACATTGTAGTATGACGTATTTTTTCCAAATATATTATATGAGATAATTTACGTGAAGCGTGAGACGAAGCTAGTGAATTGTATCGTTCTCTGCAAAAGTGCTATTTAATATTCCAGTTTCTTATGGAAGACGAATCGTGGATCTCAACTCAAGCCGAGAGTTTATAGAAATATTATTCGCAAAGGCAGATATACAGGCGCGCGCAGTAATTTAATTTTTTATCTTCTCTCGCTCCCTCAACATCAAAATGTTTCCCAAGCTTACTGAGCAATCGAATATACCATATCTATGTGCGTGCGTATCATTGCTTATTTACAGCGAACATATTGCGAACGCATCATCAACCCTCGAGAAAGAGAGAGAGAGAGACTACCCACCACCTGTTTCTTTCTTTCCATAAAATTTGTCAGGATATGCGACAGATGTATGGACGGTTTGCACGCAGAACGGTAAAAAATATTTCATGAGCAATTTCCATTGATCGATTTGCCGGGGATGCACCCATTGAAAACCTCCCACGACGCATCAGACTTTACGCAGGCGGTAAATGATATACATCGTGTTGTCATTGGAAGAAAGACCTCTGTCAACGGAAGAAACAGCGATAGCGCGTTCTGTAATTTCTTCCTCTTAAAAATCCTTACTTTGCGAGATATTCTCTGATGCACTCGCTTGGGTACGACCGACTGCCAAGGAAAACAGAGGACTATGACTCGTAAAAGCACGATTAGCCGCATAGTATTTCTTCTGCTCCCCTGGTTCGGCTACAGCTCAAACAGATTGGTCATCTTAATTACCAGATTGTTCTGGATTGTTACAATAGCGTTTATCGAATTCTTTCACTATCTATATGTTTCGACGCACTTAAATTCGGAGAATTTTTTTAACCTCGTGGACTGCTGCAGTAGCTTTTTGGCACACGCCAAGGTAATTACTAAGCTCGTTGCGTTCTGGATCAACCAGCGGTAAGTAGAGTCGACGTTTTAATGAAAGTTTAATTACAATTGTTTTCAAGTTAGAAAATTTTCACTGCTATAATTCAACTATAAAGCAATTATTAGGAACAAAATTCATAATGTCGGTGACGCTAAAAAGCTAAATAGTTCCCCCTGCCCTTGTAACTCTTTTTGAGCACATTTAATTCTTTATTAATACGTATTGTTAGTTCTGAGAGGCAAAAAGAGTTGAAATATGTGAGATACAGTTTCGTTCAAAGACAAAGTGACACCAATGCTGTCCCATATGATTCGACAACATGATCGAGGAACAATCGTCCACAGAAAATTCGAGGAGACGTTGGTGTTAATTACGGATGACTGGGATGATTGCGCTAAGAATGACATCGGCATGCGCGTGATGGCAGACAAGGCGAAAATATCGGCTCGCATTACTAACACTATACTCGTTCTCCATACGATGACCATCGTTGCGTATTGCCTGGGAGTCATCATCGCTGATGCCGATGTTACCGATCAAACCATCGAGTTGCCCTTTGTCAACAAATTAGAGTTTCCCTTCAGTATTAATACGCAGCGGATGTACAGATTTGTGTTAATCGCTGAATTTGTGCACATGATTGTGTGTAATTGGGCAGCTGGCGTTTACAACGCTATACTTTTGTCAATGGTTAGTTATCGCTCCAGAAGCAGTTGTAAGTAAGAATATATACGTAGAGGTAAGTCCGTAATTATGAAACAGGATCCTATTATGACATAGCGCGGTTTCTGTTTAATTAATAAGCATCACCGGGTAATATTACCATGAATTTATTGCCCTTGGGGCGAAACCCGTTTAGTGAAAAATTCATCGGTACATTGTGTAATCGTTGTGAAAACAGATTTGTGAATGAATTTGGGAGTTGAAAACCTGCTATCTCATATTATAAAAACCTATTCCATAATAGAGGACTTTCCTCTATAATGATAGCAATTATAAATTTGTGTTGCTTTTTTCGTCGAGTGACATTGTATGTAACATAAAACAGTTACATAGTTTCGGACTTTGCAAAAAATCTAAGTACCTATAACTCTAAAAAAATCGCGTCAAGTATGTTAGGTATTTTCAATTAATTTTTAAAAATAAAGATTACAAATTAGTGATGTTGTTTTTGTTTTTCCATAAAAACGATTCGTGATCTCATTTGTTTTACATACAGCTAAAACAAGTAAAGAAAAATCTTTTCTTTTTTTAGGTATTCCATGTAGGTGGCCAAATAGATATTCTGCAATGTTGGATGGCAGAGCTTACTTCAAACGAAATGGAAAATAAACCAGAATCGAGCATTATCGCAGCAAACAAGATCATTCTAAAGCATCAAAAAATTATTCAGTTTTCAGAAAATATAGAGAGCTTGTACACGTATATTGCGTTACTATTATTTGCATCGAACACAATGTTAATTTGCTCCCTGGGTTTTCTCATCGTAACCGTGAGTAAAATAGTCAATTACACTGCAGAGAGGCATTTTTACATTCCGCAATAATCTGTGTAATTTGTTCTGGTTCTTTCAACGTTAAATAAAATGTATAATACTATTATATCTTTTTAATTTCCTAGGCGGTTGGTACTGCCGATGCTACGGAACAGATTATGAAATGTCTTTTATTCTTCACGATAACGAATCTGGAGGCATTTATATTTTGCTACGCTGGAGAGTATCTGAACAATAAGGTCAGCGATGGAAGATAATTACTATAACGATAAAATAAATTACTAATGACAATATAGATAATTTGATGCATCTCTTTATGAAACAAGACATGCAATATTAAACTTTATTTTTAAACTATATGACTATATACTATAATAATATTACAACTATCTTTATTATTTTTAATAAAATTCGCATGGCTCAAATGTGATAAACACAAATTTGAAGGAACAAAGGACTAAGAGCCGTGACAGGGTGTTGGTGTCTAAATATTGTAAATTTTTAATTATTTTTAATCATTTTTTAGTACTTTTTGGAACGAAAATTTCTTTTAATTATAACCAATTGTGTCGAATATTATAAATTGTCTGTTATTTCATAACTGGTGAAGAAAATTATTACTACACATGTTTATAATTTTTGCTTTCACAGAGCAGAGAGATTGGATTTGCAACGTATAACTGTGCGTGGTACAATTTCAAGTCTAAAGATAGTCGTATTTTGTTATTTATAATTTTAAGATCCCAGAGGCAATTGACGTTAACAGCTGGGAAAATGATGGACCTCACCTTACAATCCTTTGCGAGTGTAAGGTTCAAGAAGAAAAAAAATTTTTATCGTTAACACTGTCTTTTTATACTTGCAATATTTACTAGACCAAATTCTCTCTTATAATCACTCTCTTTTGTTATTTATGCAAATACCAATATGCTATTAGCATAAATAATTTCTAATACAAACAACGTTGTTATAGATTATGAATGCTTCGGGTTCCTACCTGTCAGTGTTGTTGGCGATGCAATGAACATCACGTTCACCACGATAACTTTTAATCAATAGTCGTGAAGCGTGTATAAACATGTAAATATGTCTTCACTAGTTACACTAACACACATTGTAATAGTGCGTATTTTTCGAAATGTTATATGAAAATAAGATAATTTACGTAACTTGAAATGTGACATGGAACTATAACAGAAAATTCGCAATGTAAGAATGTAACACGCAAAGGTTGATATACAGACACGAAGTAATTTTATTCCATTTCTTTTTTTCGCCCTCCAAAATGTTTCCAAGGGGCACGATTCGCAATCGAATGTATCATATATTTGCCCACGCGTATCATTGCATATTTAAAGCGCGCAATTTGCGACCGCATCATCGGCCCTCGAGATAGAAAAAGAGAGAGAGAGAGAGAGAGAGAAAGATGACCCCACCTGTTTCGTTCTTTTCGTTAAAATGGTTGGAACTTACGACATATGTATGGGTGGTCTGCACACGGTAAAAATATTTGATGAGTTTCTTTTCTCACTACGACAGTAGTTTTGCATAGACACGCAATGTCATGTACATTTATTTCAATACCAAAATTGTTTTTATTATGTGAACATGCTCGTCTGTGGTACATAAGTTCAGATTGTAATCGAGATACTCAGGATTAAAAAGAATAATTTAAACGACAAGTTGAAAATTTATGCCGCTTTAAATGTATTTTAAAAGCTCGACATGTTATCTAAAAGTTGAAATAGATTGGCCTAGTTTACATCGTGCATTTGATACGCGTATCAAATAGTGTATATGAACTGATCAGCCAATGACTAAACCAATTCACTAGTTATTTACTATTTCTTACTATTTAATACGCGTATCAAGTGCACGATGTAAACTAGGCCATTATCTAAATATAATATCCATTTTCCATCTTCTTTTGTTAATATCATTTTGCATTTTTTAAAAATGTGGTCATCATAAATAATAAATCACTTACGAATTTTGATTAATTCCACAGGTACAGACATACACATAATAGGAGTTTTAATTATTTTCAGACTTTAGATACAACTAGCCAAATAAATATTGTGCATTATTGATTAACACAACTTATATCCTCCGTAAATAAGAGCTAAAGTAATCGCCACAACTGAAATTACTTGAAAATATATAAACATACATATATTGTACATTTTTTCGAAAATATTGAAAATATTTATATTGCGCTTATATGCAATTTGCGTCGAATATAATTTGTTCTCAAGTTTTCGTTGCCATAATGGTAAAATTTCTAGAGTGATCATTTTTAACCAAAAGTCGTGAAGCGGTTTGTAAATATGTCTTCGCTAGTTACACTAACACACATTGTAGTATGACGTATTTTTCGAAATATATTATATGAGATAATTTACGTGAAATGTGATATAAAGCTAGTGAATTATATCGTTCTCCGTAAAAGCGCTATACCATATCCCGGTTTCTTATGGAAGACGAATCGTAAATCTTTCCTCAAGCCGAGAGTTTATAGAAATATTATACGCAAAGATAGATATACAGATTCGCGCAGTAATTTAATTTTTTATCTTCTTTCGCCCTCTCAACGTCAAAATGTTTCCGAAGCTTACTGAGCAATCGAATATACCATATCTATGCCCGTGCGTATCATTGCTTATTTAACGCGATCAACTTGCGACCATCATCAGCCCTCGAGAAAGAGAGAGATAAACCTCGACCTGTGTCTTTCTTTTCATAAAAATTGTCAGTGTCTGCGACAGATGTATGGACGGTCTGCACGCAGAACGGTAAAAATATTTAATGAGCTGTTTTTCCATTGGCCGACACGCCAAGGGTGAATTCGTGTGACGACCTCTTACAAACGCCCAGTCTTTACGCAGCAATTCTGCGGCGTACGTCAATCCATCGAAACGTACATCTGGCGGAACGTACATGATCAAATTCATTGTATTTTTTTCGCTTTGTTGAAAGTACTTATTATACATTTCGGTGTACTCACGCGCGATATAGATAAGAGATAAACGGAACATTATGATTCGGAAGAGCACAATTAATCGCACGATAGAAGTTGTGTTCACTTTGTTCGGAATATGGCCAAATAGTATGTGCACTCCGATTTGCAGAATATTTTGGATCATCACAATAATAATTGTTCAATTTTTACACTATCGGTATCTTCAAATACATCTCCATTCCGACGATCTTTTCAATTTGATGGATTGCCTGAGCAGCTTCCTAGCATATATGAAAGTGATGACCAAGTTTGTTGTGTTCTGGATAAATCAGCGGTAAGCGATACGATTGGCATAAAAATATGATAAATTGTTTACAATAAAATTACCGTTAAGTGTGACGTGTCTTTAAACAGTTTTCCTGGAAAAAGAAAATCTACGATCAATTGAGTGAAACGGTTATTAGCTGTGTTTATTAATCGAATCGCATTCTAAAATACGATTGCGTTTAGTAATTACGTGAATTTACGCCCGTTTAATGTTGCTCTTCATTCTCATTTAATTTAAAGAAACGTACAAGTAGAAATATTCGTGATGTAATGTCGACGTGCTCGAGTTACATTCAGTAACATTTAGCAGACGGTAATTTTCTAAGGACGTGAAATGGTCTTCTTTCGTGATCGATAGGATAATCGACGAACGAAATCGTCCACAGAAAATTCACTAAAACCTTGGAAATGATGACGGAAGACTGGGACAGTTGCGTCAACAACGAGATGAATATGCATGAGACGATACGCAAGGCGAAATTATCGAATCGCATCACCAACGCGATGATAATTCTTCACACGTTAAGCGCCGTTGCGTACAGCACACGCATCATTCTGGCCGATGTCGATATTAATGATCGCACGTCCAAGCCGCCCTACATCCACAAAGTGGAATTTCCCTTCGACGTGAACACACAAAGAACGTATAAAATGATCCTAATCGTGCAAACTGTGTACGTCGTCATGTGCAGCTGGGCTGCTGGTGCTGTAAATGCTTTGCTTTTAACATTGGTAAGTTGAGGGATGTATAAACAATTACCGCGAACGGCAGTTGCAACGATAGCAATGAGAGTAATGAATTGTCAGACAATATTAAAATCTGACAAGGGTTTATGTGTGTAAAGTTGGATTGCTGTCTTGTGGAATTTGCCTCTCACGCTTTGCGTTAGATTCCTTCCTTCTGATACTCAAACATAAATTTGAGAAACGTGACGATTTTAGTACGGGCCGCGGATCCCTTATTTCCAGGTTTTACATGTAGGCGGACAAATGGATATTCTGCGCGGCTGGCTGATGAATTTCGCACCCAAGGAGAGCGGAAAGAAGCACGAATCAATTACACCGGATAAAATTGTCCAGAAACATCAAAAGATTATTAACTTCTCGAAGAACGTCGAAAAATTATATACGCACATCGCGTTGCTGCAGTTTGCGTCTAACACGATAATGATTTGCTCACTGGCATTTCTCATAGTAAGCGTGAGTAAAAGATGGAAATTAAAATATTATTAAAGATCACTTATTGTAGACTTGCTAATAAGCGCGCGAAATTTTAATTAATTCCTTTGTATTTTATGATACAGATGAGACAAAGGTAAAGGGCGGCGACTATTTATAACTATGCAATAAGCGAACCATTTTTTTGTTTGCAGGCGATAGGCACACCCGATGCGACAGAGCAGATAATAAGATCTCTCCTATTTTACGCCATAACGAATCTGGAAGCGTTTGTATTCTGCTTCGCTGGAGAATATCTAAACAACAAGGTTAGCAACTATGATATGCAACTGTGTGTAACAATAGCAACACAACGAACAATTCCAAATTCTGTGTTAAAATGCTGAGAAAAGAAGCTGTCAGACGTACTAAAACAACTTTTCCTGAAATGTACTGGAAATCTTTTACATGATTTACACCCTCTTAGAGTAAAGCGATCGGAAACGCAGCGTACAGTACCACATGGTACAATTTGAAACCTGAGGACTGTCGTATCTTATCATTTATAATATTAAGATCGCAAAAGCAACTGACGCTTACCGTTGGAAAAATGGCGGATCTCTCTTTAGAATATTTTGCAAGTGTAAGAATTATGCGCGTACCAACTTTTAACTTACTAATTTCGCACACTGTTTGCATATATCTACATAATATTTGCTATAAAATATTCACTGTTCTCTTTCTTAGAATTGGCTCACTTATGCATTTTTGTCTGTAACTAATTTCGAACTTTTGCGATATGATTTAAAGTGCACCTGTTTGCAATAATTTTACATATTAATCTGCTATAAACTGATAATTACCTACGTATAGTGATAACTTTTACTTTTAATACAAAGAATGACGTTGTTGTAGATCATGAATGCTTCTGGATCGTATTTGTCGGTGATGTTAGCGATGCAATGAACATCAACATCTATCTCGTCGATCTTCTCAATGGATACTTGTTAAACACACGTCAAATAATATGTAGATAGAGAAACACACGTTGCAATGCAAGTTATTTTCCAAATATATTTCAGGTAATTTGAAGTGCATGATGAGCAAAATTTTAACTACGACCTGAAACTCCGAAATATTATGTACACATAGTTGTAGTTAGGCAAAGCAGATTCGAAGCTCGATACTTTTCAAATAAATATTTCTTCAGTATTGACGCTGTTAAATCGTTTTGTTAAATGTGTACGACGTAGCGCGACGCGCACGTGTCCCAGCTTCGTTCCATAATGAACTACTTACTTTTATCCTTGTCAGCCAATATATCCATAGGCTCAATTAGTCTCTCGTCAAACATTGCTACCGCACCAACGCACATCCAGATATTACACAAACAATGCCACACGCTTTTGTAGCAACGCGCAATGCAGTTTTCTGTTTCTTCGTCGAGGTCTCTTCACCCTCTAGACTTCCAAAACTTTTCGAAGGATCCCCGAGCTTGATTCATCATCGGACATACGTCGCCCCGCCTATATCCGCATGTGTCGCGCGTTGCATATTTCAGGCAAACAATTCGCGATCGCATCGCTGGTGCACGAAAGAGGGAGAAATAATTCTGCCTGTTCCATTCTTTTATCTAACAATAAGTGGGGAGGAACGGCGACGAATGTGCGGTCATGATACGATAAAAATATTTTATGAGCAATTCCTATTGGCCGCCGGCTTATAGGTGCATTTGTGTAATGACCTCTTACGACCTCCCAGTCTTTACCCGGATATTTGATATAACATCGAGCTGTGGTTGACAAAAAGTTTTTTCTTTTTACCTCACTTAAACACGCGTCTTCATTTTCATGGGAGTGGTGAACTTTTTCTCTTTGGGCTCTACACGTAGATAATCAAATAAATATCGCGCGTTATTGATCAGCAATGTTGATACTCGAAATTAATATACCTAGCTAATTTTAGCGTGTGCATGTACTATCGAAGCAAATACAGAAACTAACGTAAATGAACGCAAATTTACCATCACTACGATAAATAAAATCATCCGGAAACGTCAGAAGGTGGTTTACTTTTCGAAAAAAATATTAAATATGTATATTTATGTGCAGCTGTAATTTGCACGTAACACTGCGATAATTTGCTTATTACGATTTTTAATTGTGAGTGTAAAACCAATGTTTAATAGTACATATAAATAAAAGTAAGTATTTTATTCCGCAAAATTAATTATATGTTTGCGTCGCGCGTATCTTGTCAATTCCCTCTTGCATGTAGATTGTTGCATCGACAAATTATTCGTGACTTTGTCGAATCAGTGTTTGATATATCTCGATATCGCAGGCGCTGAACAGTCCTGAGGCGACGGGCACAAAAAAAGATTAAAGCTTTGCTGTTTTACAACGTAACGAATATCGAGGCATTCGTGTTTCATTATACGGGGGAATATCTCATGTGAATCAAGTTAGCAAAAACCACAAGGATAAGCACTCGACAGATGATTCTTATTGTGATCTCCTCTTTCACTGTTCTGTGAGAGGGAAAATTATAGAGTAAGAACATACAATCAGGGAGAACTCAAATTAATCGATAAAGACCGATGATTCTTACAGCTTCGTTTAGGTTTTTTTTTTATTAATCATTATGAAGGTGAAATAACATAAATTTCTTCCTTCCCGAGGTAAAAATCTGTGTTATACAAATGCTCAAAAGATCAGCGTAGTATATTTGTAGCTTTTAAATAAATATATTAAAAAGGCCAGTGCTCCAAGAGCTGCTTTTTGCAGAAACATATGTAACTTCGGAGCGCGTTGATGACACGTCTGACTGCAACTCATGAAGTGATTATAATTTGGAGCATGGAGAATACGAAGCAGAGCGTTCGAAAACGGAAAACAAGAACGAAATTGAGCATATGTCGTATTTAATGATGACTCATATGACTTAGATTTTCGCCCCGGGGATTATTTTCACCTCCGCAGAGCACAACTGTTGGCTCCGCTGCGCTTCATTGCGCGTGTTACTTGGAACCTAAATGCAGTCGTATTCTGTTATTCGCGATATTAAGATCGCGCAAAAGCAACTGACATTCGGGAAAATAATGGATCTCTTGTTACAATGCTTAACAGGAGTGAGCTTCATATGCACAGTGCACGAGACAATTCATTTGGTTGTACATAACATTCGCCGTAATTCTATACGAGTATCTCCTAGGTTTGCTTACGTAGCCCTTTTTATTACGTAGCTCGTTTAATGAGTATGAGTACACTCTCATGATGACAACTTGAATATGCCATAACTAATGTTAAATTAAAATTAAACTCTGACGCTGTTGTAAATTGTACATTTTACGGAACTATACTTATCGGTGTTATCGGTGGATGCGATGAGCGCTACGTTTTGTCCCTTTGACTCTCGAGGAGTAATATGCATCCTCTAATAAATAAATTCACTAATTAAACGAGTGCACGGTATATTTCTTCGAATACGTACTTTGAGGTAACGGCAAGATAACTTAATTAGGAAGAAAATTACGAAGTGAATAATATCGAATTGCACAGTCTTCAAACTGCAGTACGGCATCTCGATATAAAAGAGATTTGCCATGTTCTCGATTCCCGCGAATCCCGCGGCGGCTATCCCTTCCTCTTCCCGGCGCGACCCTTCGGAAACCTCATCGTCTCTCCTTAGATCAGCGCGCATGATTTTTCGACATGCTATAAACCGGTACTGTACGCCGACCTCCGTCCCGCGTAATCGTGCATTTTTAACGAAAATTGCACAGCACCACACCGTTTGGCGGAAGAACGGCCCCCCCCCCCGGCCTCGGTTTCCTTTCCACCCGCAAAATCGGCGACAGCCGACGACACGCGCTACAACTTCAACGTACGCGGAGCGATGAAAATATTTAATGAGCTGTCCCCTGCCCGGTGGACAAAGGTAGGGCTCGCGGCAAGATGACCCTCCGGCATCCTTCAGTCCATCCGCAGCGTTTACAGGTGCGTGTCTCCTGCCCTTATCGTTCATAAATCTGTTTCGCGATCGCGCCCGACGCCGACGTCTCTCCGTTCGTGTTCCGATAAACCGCGAGCGTCGTGCGTTCGTCTCATTAACCCCTGGTGACGCGCCGCACCATTGAAAATTCCCTTTCCCTGTTCTCACTCTGTTAACGCATTTAGCCGTAAACCGTTAACAAGCTGCTGTCTGATCAATTAGAAAGTTTACAATCTCGGACAAGTGTCTGTCGCTTCCTCCGAAGGAAGAGACTCTCGAAAGAGGGAGCCTACCCTCATTTCGGTCCCGCATCGCGGATCATGTCGTAGGGCGTTCGCGTTCGCCGGTCGACCGTGAGCCCGAGTGCCTCGTGAAATGACGTCTGTTAATACGATTGCCCGGTCGATCGAGATCGGACTCCGAGTCGCCGGCGTCTGGCCAGGCGCGGCCTACGCGCTTATCAGTCGACTTCTCTGGACCGCGACGATGATAGCCGCGCAGATCTTTCAATATCGCCACATGGCGTTGCACCTTAATTCCGAGGACATCTCGCAGCTGATGGACGGTCTGAGCGCAACGCTGTCATACAGTTTGTTGTGTGTCAAGTTGATTGTTTTCTGGACGAAGCAACGGTACGTCGTCGCTACTTGCGGTCTATGATCTTACGACGAGACGTACAAATCGAACAGACGTTCGATAATACGGGACGAATGCATCAGTAATTATATTATTGTATCGTATCAAAGCATTAGAGAGAAGCATCAGCTATTGCGTTTTGCACCTTAGAAGTCATTGTTTCGGCAAACGTTACCCATATCTGCTTACCGTCAGCAATTTGTAAATAAGATTTTAATACGTCTTTTATCGTCCTTTCATTATTCCTTTTATCGTACTCGCTGTCACATCGGGGAGCATTTCTATTATCAGACACGATACCCACGTTCATCTTCGCGTGTTTCAATCTACCTTCTCTGTCGTTTGTCATCGAATACAGAGAAATAGTTCCCCAGTCATAGTCATCAAGGGGGGAATATCATCGCTCTCGCGGTGCTGCAGGAAATCGATTCTTCCTAGAGTATTTAACGACGTGTTAGCGAGCATCGCGACGGACTGGGAGGAATGCGGGGACGCCCTGTACGGCATGAGTAGCGTGGCCAATCTGTCGCAGCGTTTCTCCAATTTGATCATCGGCCTGCACTCGACGGCCGTGCTGTTCTACGGCATCGGCGTCGTCGCCCTGCGCGGCGACGGCGTCGCCGATCGTGAACTTTTTCTCAAGATGGAGCTACCCTTCGAGAGCGGCACGTCGCCAATTTACGAGATCGTCATGACCACGCAGTTCCTGCATCAGATGACGGCCGCCACCGTGATCGGCGTGCTCAGCGCACTACTCGTTACGTTGGTAAGTCCGGGCCCCGGGGGCCTTCAACCCCCGGGGGATTTTCAACTTCTCGACTGAGATTACCCCCGGGAATGCGTCCCGTGAGCTGGCTCAGCCGTAACGTTACCGCGATGACTGTTCGTAACGCATTTCAATTTGTTTGGGAAAAATTGCAAGAAAAGCTACTTGTGGGAAATTTATTTCCAGTATCGATTTTTTCGCTTCTATTAAACGAGACTTTTGGTGTTACATATTTTATCCGCCTTCTCTTAATTAACGTTTATTATTTGTCTCGTTTAAATGTAATATACACGGAAAAAAACATTTAGCTGCTGTAGCTAAAACTTAGTAAAATATGGACAGCTAATATTTTTAGTTGTGATAGCTCAATATTTTGCTGCGACAGCAAACGGCTGTCCATATTTTACTAAATTTTAGCTACAGCAGCTAAATGTTTTTTTCCGTGTACAAGCATTTATGTAGACTCATTTCTTCTTGGCCATGCGATTTAGAATATTATCAAGAAATTTAAGAATCGTTAATTAAATAATAAATTTCCATTTCAGTAAAATTTTTGAAATATTTATAATATGAATATATATATATTTCTTTTTTTAATATTTTCACGTGAAATCTGTGCAGAGAACGGATAATAGAATTAAATCTCTAGGTGCTTCATGCGGGCGGTCAGATGGATATTTTACGGGAAAGATTATTGGAAATTTTACCAAAAAAGAAGAAACCAACCATCTCCGTAATCACGATAGGCTCGTTAATTCGAAGGCATCAAAACATCATCGTTTTCACCGAAAAAATCGAGAGCCTGTACTCTTACATCGCGCTGGCCCAATTCATTTCGAACACCATTGTTATTTGCTGTTTAGGCTTTATCATCGTGAATGTAAGTAATCTTGGTGACTTTTGCCGCGGATAATCAATGATATTTTTCATTTACCTCGACGTGGACATACATTAGTAAAACAAATATCTTAATCCACAGAAATATTACTTTACTCAAGAAAACTATTCATTAGGTGGCTCCTAATAACTTATTAACTTGAATTTGAAACATAATAAACAAATTAAAACATGCATTTCTTTATGTCAAACAGTAGATAATTAAAAATTTTTTAAATTTTACTTAAATTCTATAAATGTTTACTAAGATATAAGTTTTACAGCGAGGAAAATTGAATTTCTTATTTGACAAAAACAATGATTTCGTTTAATAAATAGTATTCTCTATCTCGTGAAATCTTTAGTTGAATGTAGAAAATGTAATGATTGAAATTAATTTACTTAATGTAACACACAGATTTACTTGAAATTTGATATTTTTATTTAAATAGAATAAATGTTTACTTCAGTAAAAAAAATCATTTTAAGTAAATCTATTTGTTTAGTTTAAAAAAAATTTGGGCAGTGTACTTGTATGTACATGTCGAACATTCATGCGAATGTAAGTTATCGTTGCCAAGTGACGTTTTATCTTGTACAAGTGCAGCCATTGACAAAATTATTACCCCCTAATCATTATACCGTATTGGTACTCAGCGACTTATAATTTTTTAATATTTTTACAATGCAATTCGCGGTAGAAAACATTCAATCGTGCACCTCGATATTTCAATATTGCAGTCGATCGGCACCGATCAAGGCTCGTCTATGTTGGTGAGATCCCTTTTGTTCTATCTCGTCATTAATTTGGAAGCGTTCATTTTCTGTTTTGCCGGCGAGTATCTAAGCATGAAGGTGAGTGAGCACTTACAGCTGTTGATTTTAACGTGACAATTCTCTAACGTCCACTTTTCACACGCTAAGTTTTTGCTCCGATTTGACTTCCAGAGCAAGACGATCGGCGACGCGGCGTACGAGTCTCTGTGGTACGATTTGACCCCGAGCGAGAATCGAATCCTGCTATTCCTGATAATGAGGTCGCAAAAACAATTGACGATTACCGTCGGCAGATTCATGAACCTCTCTTTGCAGCAGTTTGCGAACGTAAGTTTTACGTTATTTCGGTCGGGTTATTTGATTAGAACTTCGCATGTTATTACGTTCGTTATGACGCGTAAATTGTTGACCTTAATATATAGAGAAAAGTCTCCTATTATGGGAAAGGATCCTAATATGGGATAGCGGGGGTTTCTGTTAAATTAATAGGCATAATCAGTTGATTCCACCATGAATTTCTTGCCCTTGAAGCGAAATCTGTTTAGTCGAAAATTCATTGTTAGATTGAACAAATAAATTTTATAAGTCATGCTCTGTCACCCCTCGAGCCAAGTTCTCGTTTGTCAAACTACGACCACAAATACAATCCTGTTTAGATCACCGAAATACACATAAATCTGTGTACATGACTTTTCTCAGTTCGCTTGAAAAGGGCCACAAACCATGGTCGAAATGTTGCGAGCCTTGAACATGAAAACTGCCAGGTATGGTCAAACAAACTTCAAGTTGAGAATTCATAAGGCTCTGACGTGAAATCACAGATACGAAATAATAAAGGATATAAGAGCCAAGACGGATGTTAGTGTCTAAATGAATTTAATTTTTAAATTCCTTGCGAAAAATTTACTTCAGCCAGAGCTTGAACTTGGACCTCCCTGTTACTGGGCGGGCGTCTCCATTTCTAGATTGTGTAATCGTTGCAAAAAAGATTTGTGATCGAATTTAGGTGTTGGAAACCTGCTATCTTATATTAAAAATCTACCTCATAATAGAGGACTTTCCTCTACGATTACAATATTTATTTTTACTGCACACAGCAACGTTGTCTGTCGTAGATAATTAAATCGTCAGCGTCATACGTCTCTGTGCTACATGCATTGTAACGATATACATTAAAGCGACTATAACTATTAATATCGAATAGTGATACCGCTGGAAATTAAGCATAACGGAAGATTACTCTATTTTTAATAAAAGCCAATGATCAGCTGACGTTCCCTTATCGTCTTTTTATTACAACAATATTTACGCGAACGTTGTTAAACGAGCACAGTTTGCGCCGCCAGCTTACTGAAAATATGCCGTTGCTCCCGAGGACGGGGGAAGAAAAATATTTTTCGTAAGGCTGAGGGGGCGCGCACGTCACGGGCTTTCATCCCCTGAAAGAACTTTGGAACGTCGTTCCGTGCTAAATTGCGGAAGTTATCCGGACGCAGCGGGGACTTGATTCTCCCTTCCGTTCGCGTTGTTACTCGCGTGTATTCCGTTCTGGCGATATCGCGCAATCGTGCCAGATGGCCGCAACGGATAGATCGCGACGGCAACGAAATTATACTGGGATTACTTAGCGCTATTTCGCGCATACAATCAGGACGCTTTCACACGGCGTTCAGCGGAAACCAGCCTGGAGGGACGATTTTATTAGCAACGACCGTGTCTGCTGCGCATCGCGAGCTACTGTAATCCTATCGCCCCTCGCGACCGCTCAATTTGCAAACTTTGAGTTTACACTCGGTACGAGAGGAGAGAATTTATACCTCGTATTACCTGGCAAAAATACACATCTTACACACGTCGACTGCGCGGAGGTAATGTATAAGGGAATAAGTTGCGCAATTCTATCCTTCGTACACAATTTCCCGTCCGTCAGAGAATCTCGGCGTGACATTTTCCAAAAGGAGTCCCCGGTGACTCTCATTTCCGATTAAATTTTAAATTGAATTCTTTTACCAAAGTGTGAAATGATCATTTATTATGGACGAACGGTTTGAACTTTGTTTGAAATAATTAAAAATTCTCATTTTTTATACTAAGTAGAAAAGACAATAATTTAGTGCTTTTAAATAATTAAATGTCACTAAATGTCACTAAATATTAATTATTTATAAGAATCATATCTAACTCTGATACTCCATTGAATTTGTTCGCTCAGAAAATTACTCTGCAGATTTATTTAGAGAGTACAGAGAATGGGATCTTCCAAACAAAAACTTTTATTCCCGGCGGTCCTATATCGCTGTAGGATATCAACTTTCTAGATTGTCTAGGAATTACATTCTGACAATGTAAATCATAAATTTTCGCACCGTGTTCTATGCAGCGGTGATGTCGCCGCATCTTACTAAGTACAGAATTATCGGGGTCGGGACGTGGCGTCGTAAATTCCTTCTTGAGTTTCTCATCGCCGCGCGCTATGAAAATTCTTAATTTTTGCATTCATAGCCACATCAGCATCGACTTGCTTACGACTTTCTAGAGTTTATTGGCGTACCACGCGATGTAAAGGAGTTAAGAGACTGCTAATATTTGTAAGCAATATATTTCAACTGAAAAACCGTGCGTTTAATTACACGATGGAATGTGCCTTTTGAAAAAATTACGGATCAGAGGCCTGGAGGATTATTTTCTTGTCAGATTAACCTATTGAATCTTTTGCAGTGATTACGTAAAAAAATGGTTTTTTTACGCAATCTTTTACGTAATCTATTATTTTTGTAAGTAAATGTCTTTCTAGGGCTATTGCACGTCTCCCTCCCACAATATAATTTTATCGCAATACCAATGTTTTATGAATTACTGAAAAAAAAAGACTAGCATCCGATTTCCAATGCATTTGCGTTCTAATATTTCCGCGATGCGAAAATAAAAAATAAAAACACGCGTGTACCTAGCCACTCATTGCTACGCGAGATCGTTAGCGGGGCCGAAATTAATCCCGTCGAAGCAAGTATAATTTTACTGGAATTTAATCGAAATAATTTTATAAAGAAGCAGACCAGGCTGACAATTTTACTTTTCTATCGTCAATCTCCAGCGAGAGGAGATCTCGCGCGCGAGATCCCGCAGGTAATGAACGGACCAGTCGTTTCCAACTTTTTGGCATTTAGAGGCAGTACCATTTTCCGGGGAAAGCTACGTCAGTGGTGGCAGTAACGGCGGCGGCGGCGGCGGCGGCGGCGGCGGCGGCGGC